GGTATCACACACATTTAATAAATGCTTTCTCCATTCCTAGATTTTCTGAATACACATCTTTCATATGATTCTGCTGTTTTATATTCTCCCCTAACAGTTTTGTTGCGAATTAATTCTCTAAGAAGAAGGTGGCAACCTCATAGTCCCATGACTTAAATACTATTTAACACCGATGCTCCCAAACACGCACCTCCTGCTCTGTGGTTGCCCCTGAATTCTGGTTGTATCTCTCGGGAGTCTGAGGCATTTCAAATGTAACAAAACCATAATTTCTAATCAACCCCAACAACTAAACCCCATACTTGCTCCATTTCCAGAATTTCTTGTTTCATTAATGACACTATCACCCCACCAAAGGTAGTTCTCATGCTTGCTCTCCCCTCTCTATCCCATTTCCAATCCATCAACAAATCTTGACTAACTCTCCTTCCCGTATTTATCTAAATCTCCCTGCTTCGCATGTTGGCCACTCTTCTTATTCTAGTCCCGATAACCATGATCTTCTGCCTTTATTACTTACTTCCTCTATTTTTGTTCTTCTTCTACTTTGGTCCATTTTCCAAAGTGAAGACTAAATTATCTTTACAAAACATTAATTAAATTATATCATCCTCTGCCTACAGTCTTTGGTTTCCCATCCCACTTAGGATAAAATTTAAACTCCCTGCTGGAGTCTACCAAATTCCCGTTAATTCAGAGCATCTCTCTCTTTCTCTACCCTCCACTCACTCAGTTCTGGTCACATGGCCTTCTGTTTGTTCTTCGAATACAATAAACCTATTTCTGCCACAGGTCCTTTGAATGTAGTATTCCTTTTGCCCCACACACAGATCTCCCAGATTTTTCTGATTCCCTTCTTCTCCTTCTTCAGTATCAACCCAAATATCCACCTCCCCTTTTGGTGGCCTCCACAAGCACACTCTTCTTAAGTAACGTTTCCTACTTCATCCTGTTTTGTTTGTTATAACATTTGTCAGCCGACAGTTATTGTACTTACATATTTTTTCTTAGAATGTAAATCTCATGTGAACAGAGTTGCGTCTGCTTTGTTCACCCCTTTAACCTTGTGTAGAACCAGGCCCACAGTGGGAACTCAGTAAGTACTGTTCGAATATTTTGAACAAATTATTAAGACATTCAAAAAGTGCCATTTTTCAAAGTAAAATTCCTACCCACTTGTTTAGTGACTGTAACTGCAGAAGTTACAGGGTAGAAAATGAGGTGCAGCTCAATGACAGGCCAAAAAGAAAGGTGTTTGGAGGCTAATGTATGGAGCCAACTTTTGCTAATAAATATGGCTGGTTTATTTCCCTATATTTACATAGGGCGAAAAGGACAAGAGGAACATTAGCTTATCCCTACAATGAGAGATGTAATTTTCATTGTTAAATGCACTTAGTATCTGTCACAGTAAGAAATAGATTGAGTTCTGTGGAAACACAAATAAGTGATCATCTAAATCTACAGATTAAATTCTGAACCTACTTCTACTTCCTCCCTTTGTCTCACACTACTCCCAAATGAAGAAACTATCATTTATAGAAGACAATTTTCTGAAACTTTTCAGACCTGACACCGTGCTAGGTCTTTATAACTCCCCCCCTCACAGTGACAGTATAATAGCCAGCCCGGCCAGGGCACACATATATGATTAGCAGTCAGAAGTCTAGCAAAATCAAAAATGTTTCTTCCTCTTTGGAACAGCTGGCTTGGGAGAGAACATGTTCTAAGACATTAAAGGTGAATATTTTCATGACACCTGTACAAAATGACTTTCTGCTATCTTCTCTAAAAACCTAAGTTTCAATCTTTATCCTATAGACTTTAAAAGATAGAACTCAAAGGTAACATTTTATATCATAGTCTCTTACAGTCCTAGAACAAAACTTAAGCATGAATAATTGGAGATCTGCACACTAATATAAAGATGAAAGAATGAGACTCAATTTAACACAAGAGCTAAAAAAAAAAAAAAAAGTGGGATTATTTCCCTCTGCCATCTTGAAAAGGATATGGCTTTAAAACCTACGAAACAAGAAGACAGTGACGTTATGCTGGATGGGCAACATATCAGTGAACCCTCTTCCTAAGAGTTTTTATAAACCTTTATATTTTGACTATCTACTTATTTCTTTGTGAATATAGTTTTCTTCTATCTGTGGACTCTTTCCTATATAGCAGCTCCATCCTCATTACCTATAACAAGGTTTCCATCAACTTTCATCATGTATATATTCCATAAAGTTTGAACACACACCTACTTGATATGTGAATTTATGTATTTTTACCCTAAACACATGTGCCATTGTGCTGTTACATATTTTATACACTTTCCTACAACCAAGTACATTAACATAACGAGACAGAATAGACACTGAAGTTCTATTTTTCCTTCCTGCCCTCCAGTCGATTGGTTTATGCCCTCTCTGGGGGAATGTTTAGCTCCCTTTGGAGACCACTAAGATTTTCTCTCAAGGAAAGGGACTGATTCATATTAAAGCTCTTTTGATTTTATGATCAATGTGCACTAGAGTTCCTGAATAGTCTAGATCTGCATACCTTATTATACCATGTTACAGTGCATGAAGCTATGAGGTGCCAGCTAGAACAAGGTATTTGTTCCTCCAGCTGCAGGTAATATTGTTGGCTGGTAGTAACTCAGAGCTGAGTTAACACTCCCCTGCCTCCACCCTAGTAGCCCTCATCCAATTACTGGTCCAATAACCCACACCTCCTTGTTTCAGTTCAGGCCAACTGGAAAGGGCCATCCTAGCTCCAGAAGTCCTACTGGATTCAGAAGAAGCTTCCATTATTACTACAATTGCACGCTCTCGCTCTCTCTCTCTCTACAGTGCTACTTCCTCCAGTCCTTCACTGATTGCAAAGGCACCCTGCCAGAAATCTCCTGCACACAAATCTCTGTTGCGGAGCCTCTTATGTGTTGAGTTCCTAATAGATTGTTTATTGAGGCACTGGAAATTCAAGAATTAAACTAATATCCTAAGTCCTTCTGAATCCCCGTTAGTTTCTCACTGAGTCAAGATGCATGTCTTTTGTTTTCTGGATGTCTTCTTTGTTTTTCTTATTATGGAAAATCAAGGTTCCAAAAATTGGACAGGAAGAGTGACCTCCTTCTTCTAAATGCCTGAGTGACATTTACTGATGGGCTTAATATCACTGCTTCTGAGAACAACAGATCTTCAACCTGATCTCAGCCATTCTGCCCCAGACTGTGGTCTAATTCATACTGCTCACTCTGATGCCTGCTTCAGGGTCACTTCAGCTCCTGACACAATCCCAGTTCCACTCAGGTTCAAGAAATGTTAGAGCGCTTGACCTACTAGCAGCATAAGGCACCTACTTACTTTACCTGGGATATATCTCTCTGAGAGAATTGGTTTAACTCACTAGAGGCTATGAGGTTTAATGCACTAGTAGTCATGACACCATTTTTCTCTTACACTTTTCTCAATGGAACTTACTTGATTCTGCCATCCAGGGTGAAAGCTCTGTTTTCCCAATGCACCAGTCACAGAATAAGCAAAGTAACAATTATTGCTTCCTGGAAGGGAGAGATCTATGGTATTGGACATAGTGCCCCCTGTTTACATTTTCTTTGATAAAGATACAGACTTTCATAAAAATGGAATCCTAAGAACTGGCCCTACATAAACTTAAGTTTTGCAAAACAACTATGAAAAGCATACCAATGACTCTAGATTTTTTTTTTTTTTTTTTTTTTTAGAGAGAGAGAGAATGCCTGTGAGCAAGGGGGAGAGTGGTGAGAAGAGGGAGAGGGAGAGAGAGAATCCCAAGTAGGCTCCATGCCCAGCGAAGAGACCCACATGGGGCTCGATCTCATGACCCTGAGATCATGTCCTGAGCCAAAATCGATTTGGATGCTTAACCTACTACTGAGCCACCCAGGCACCCCTACAATATTTTAATATTCATAAAAACTCAATACAATGCTTAGGTATAGTTTCTGACATAGAATATCAGAAATAAGAAACCACCCAAGGTTTTACTTAGAAAAAATGAGAATATATGCATAGATAAATTGTTATAAAAAAACGAATACCTAAAATATAGTCCTTCTTACCCCAAACTCCAATAGATGAAGAACGGAGGATGGCCATTACAGCATGTAATATAATATTTGATTCTAATTAAAAGATTATTCAGTGAAATGCTCTTTTGATAGAAACTGACATGCTTCATATGCTATATATTAAAAACAGTAATACATACTTGATTACAGATTATTAAAGATATAACAGAAGTATTTCATAAACAGTCATTAGGTAGATTATAAGATAACATGTAAAAGGTGATACAGGAAATAAATACAAAAATGCCTATTATCCATTTATGACTTAACATTTATTGAAAGTGGAGCAAAACCCTTCACAGCAAGGCTCAGAGAGTTGCCTGCAAAGTGACTCCAGTGTCTTCTATGGTTGTTGTTTTTTTCCCTGTCACGGCAGTCCCCATGTCTAAAGCTCATTCATCGGGGATGAAGCTTATGCTACGATTTTCACTATACCTTGAGATGCTGAAGCTATGGCTACTTTTCACAGATACGGAGCGCCCTCCATTAAAATACTACTGTATGGCACCTGGGTGGCTCAGTGGTTAAGCGTCTGCCTTCGGCTCGGGTCACGATCCCGGGATCCTGGGATCGAGCCCCGCATCGGGCTCCCTGCTCCGCCAGGAGCCTGCTTCTCCCTCTGCCTCTGCCTCTCTCTCTGTGTGTCTCTCATGAATAAATAAAATCTTAAAAAAAATAAATAAAATAAAATAAAATACTACTGTACATTGACTCTGTAAGAAAATTGCTCAACAAAATATTTCTAAAATCTCAATACAAATAATTGATTCCAATACTCACATTTAGGTAGGACCATCAGATAGGATTAATAGATTTATCACATGTAATGGAAAGCGAATACTTATTATTTACCATTGATTATACCAATAAATAGAGTATCAGCACTTACCTGAATAACGTGCTTCAGTTTATCAATAATTTGATTTATCACGGGATCAGTTCCTCTGACTTTGACTTCGGGATTTCCAGATTGGGCTTTGATTCCATTTCCAACCACACGCTGAGTATAGCTAACAAAGTGAAAAGTGGAAGATAATAGAATTTAGTAATCTGATCAGAATATTATCTGCCATAACCATTTGAATACACCTGAGCTCAGAATCTTACTCTTTTAAGAGTGTACAACAATGCTTTTTTTCTTGGAACAGGCCCTGGCCCAGCTGCGACATTATTTTAGTAAGATGCTTACCATGGAAACATGAACTATTCTAATGTTTTTCTCTCAAAAGACCCAACCGAAAATTAACTATGTTTTAATACTATTTATCAATATACTAAAGAAAGCTAATGTACATCCCACTTTGTTACCAGGTCTTGCTGAATTACACATATGTCTGAATCCATATTACCTGGGTCAATTTAATTCATTGTATACGGTATATAAATGAGTCCCAATACTATTTTTTTTTTACATACTGGACTACAAAAGTCAAAATTATGAACATTATAAATAAACAACTAAAACCGGCAAAATATTTTGCAAGCAGACAAAAACACAATCTTTCACCAACATTTATCTAAACAAGGGTCTAGTAAATCATGTTGTATGTAATAGGGTGACTTCATAGGTGGTTAAAGTCATTGCAAATTACTATCTTCCCAAAATGACAATTTAGATTCATCAGTCACAATCCTAGGAATGAAGGAGAGGTTCAGTATGTTATGGGAATAGCTAGAAGGAACGGTATATGCCATGTGAGAGGTTAGGGATAACATGGGTAGTAAACACTGAACATATGGAGAAGTCCATCCGGACTAAGACACTTGGGGAAAAATTAAAGAAGTTATTGCTTGTGTTAGCCCTTGAAGTATTACGGGAAGAACAGGTCTTAGATGGTATAGTTAATGTAAACTCCAGAGCAAAGGATGACATCCCAGCCCGAGAAATGGCAAAGGCATATGAATAACACACACAGGGAAGAATAGCTACGTTTCTAATTACAAAGAGTACAAATAGGGAAAAGTAAGAGATAGGAGGCCATGCCCTGAACATTCCATACTCTCTCCATTTAAGACTCTCCTCTGAGTAATCTGTTTGTTCAAACAGAAGTCATAATAAAGTGGCCTCAGAGAATTTCCAGCAAGCATTTTCATATTATGTTTAATGTAATATTTCTTCCCTCTATTTGAGCAGAGTATCACAGCTACTCTCATGCACCCTGTGGATTTTCTACAGCAATGGAAGCTCTTTGAAAAGATGAAAGGAGGTTCCACTGTTGAGAATATGGCCAGATACAAGAAGTTTTAATGAATATCCAATTCCTCCCCAAATTTTGCACACCCAGTGACTAATTTATACAAGTGGATCAAACAATTACTAGCTAGATCCTTCCAATTAAATGATGCAACTTTTTTATATTGATAATATCAATTGCATGTGACAAAAATAATGATATTAATAAATCTTTTTTAATTTTTAAAACAACCTTAAACCCGCTTCTTAAGGCAGAAATAAAGGGGTATAGAGTTAGGTATTCCAGTATACATTAGGGATTTGGCAATATATACCAATAACTATTAGTGGAAGGAAATCAATTACACAAATCTATTGATATGTAATAATATTTTTTACTTAAGAGGAATTAAGCAAACTATAAATATTAAGCTTCTCTTAACTCCTCTGTAGCACTATTATATTTTTCTTCCAAATATTTCAAGCAGATTACATATGTGGCTCCTTTATTAATGTGTTTATTATTAATAATGATGAATACTATGAATACATAAATGGACAAATCCATGTTTATGATTCAGGCATTGTTTTAGATACTTTCATTGGAGTTTGTCAATTTATCTACATGATAATCATTTGTTGTGGCCATGAGCATGTGCCTATGGACCTCAAAGTACAACAAGTTTAATTGACTAAGAGTACCTGCTGTTTTGCTCTGAAATCTATTTCTGCACCTGTCCCCAACCGAAGACTGTGTTCAGCAGGGATATTAATGCAGAGCCATCACAGGAAGACAGAGGGTTCCTCTGATAGCTAAGTTTGTCTCAGGAATCCCTGAAACCCTTGCTAACCTTTCCTTAGGCTGCACATCATGCTTGATACTTCCACTCAAACTTCTTACCCCTTCCCTGCACTCTGGGTCACGCGTGCTTCATGACTAACAGCTTTTCCAGCCTTACTCAGTTTCCACCCCATTTGTTTGGATAGGCATCTCCCTTAATAAAACCCTCTTGTGTTTAATCCCTTTTTCGCATCTGCTTCTTGGAGAATCCAGATTAATACATCATATAATATTTATATTATAAGGATTCCCACTCTACAGATTGGGGATCTAGGATGTGAATATGTTCAGTAACTTTCCTAATGCAACAGTTTGTTAAGTGTGCAGCAAGGGTATGAATCCAGGGAACATGAGCTCCAAAATATAATCACTCAATAATTATTAATGAAAACTCCTGAAACCAACTAATATAAACTAGAGATACAATTAGTTTTGTCCAAAGTGTTTTTCTTCTTTTTGTAATCCTTTCTTTTTTTCTGTAACTACAGCATTTTCAAATGTTTTACTACTCATAATTAGAAAAGGATGTACTATTTTCTTCAAAAATCGCAGTGAACAGTTGTATATTACCAGCTAAAGAGGGAAGTTATGCTTGCTGGAGGGGTGAAAAGAAACTAATAGAGTGCAAGTTTGCTATAAGATTTTCCTATTTCTCTAGAAACACAGACATAATATGAGCAATGGAAATTTAGTCTCATCACTTAAATACAGTAAAACCTTACACAATACAGGTTTGAACTCTCTGGGTCTACTTATACATGGATTTTTTTTTTCAATAAATACAGTACTATAAATGTATTTTCTCTTTCTAGTTATTTTCTTAATAACATTTTATTTATTTTCCCTACTTAACTTTATTCTAAGAATATAGTATGTAATACATATAACACACAAAATACGTGCTAATCGACTGTTATCGGTAAGACTTCTGGTCAGCAGTAGGCTGTTTGTAGTTTCAGGAGAGTCAAAAGTCATACGTTGATTTTTGACTATGCCCCTAACCCCCACATCCTTCAAGGGTCAGTTGTAAACTATTACTTTGGTTGCATCTTGGTTTATGTACAGACCATGAACTTACTTTCAAGATGCGGGAATGTCACGTCATATTAATCTGAAGAATTTCACATTTTTATTCTTAACTATCACAGTTGATAACACAGATAAATTTTATCACAATTACAACTGACCAAGAATCTCATTCCAAACTAGTGTATTATTCAGGAGTTAAGTATCACTATTCTTACATATTATTTAAATAAGGAAAAACACTGCCGCAGGGCATTTAAGATACTTCAAGTGAAATATAAGTTTTTTGGGTTTTTTTTAAAGATTTTATTTATTTATTTGACAGAGAGAGACATAGCGAGAGAGGGAACACGAGCAGGGGGAATGGGAGAGGGAGAAGCAGGCTTCCCGCCGAGCAGGGAGCCTGATGTGGGCCTCGATCCCAGGACCCTGGGATCATGACCTGAGCTGAAGGCAGCCGCTTAACTGACTGAGCCACTCAGGCGCCCCAGAAATATAAGTTTTAAAAATAAGTTTTTCTTTTCTGTTTTCATAAAGTTAAGAACTACGATGCAACAGTGGTACATACACACCAGAAGAGTTTAAATGAAAAAGACAGACGATACCAAGTGTTGGCATGGACATGGACCAGTTGGAGCCCTCTCTCTTTGTGGATGGGTGTGCAAACTGATATAAACCACTATTTGACATGTATACTAAAGCTAACAATCCCATGGTCCTGGGGATATACTCAACAATGTCTACCAAAAGACAGGTATAAGAATGCTCAGGGAAGTATTACTCAAAATAGCCCCAAATTGGACATAACCCCAATGTCCATAAGCATTAAGATGGGAAAATAAATGGGAGTATATTTATATAATAATATACTATACAGCAATGAGAATGAATGAATTATAACTATATGTAATATCTTTTTTTTTTTT